TGGAAGGCGAGTTACCGGTTATAATGGAGGGGATGGAAGGGGAGTTACAGGCTATAATGGAGGGGATGGAAGGTGAGTTACCGGTTATAATGGAGGGGATGGAAGGTGAGTTACCGGTTATAATGGAGGGGATGGAAGGGGAGTTACCGGCTATAATGGAGGGGATGGAAGGGGAGTTACCGGCTATAATGGAGGGGATGGAAGGGGAGTTACCGGTTATAATGGAGGGGATGGAAGGCGAGTTACCGGCTATAATGGAGGGGATGGAAGGCGAGTTACCGGTTATAATGGAGGGGATGGAAGGGGAGTTACCGGTTATATTGGAGGGGATGGAAGGTGAGTTACCGGTTATAATTGGAGGGGATGGAAGGCGAGTTACCGGTTATATTGGAGGGGATGGAAGGCGAGTTACCGGTTATATTGGAGGGGATGGAAGGCGAGTTACCGGTTATAATGGAGGGGATGGAAGGTGAGTTACCGGTTATAATGGAGGGGATGGAAGGTGAGTTACCGGTTATAATGGAGGGGATGGAAGGGGAGTTACCGGTTATAATGGAGGGGATGGAAGGTGAGTTACCGGTTATAATGGAGGGGATGGAAGGTGAGTTACCGGTTATAATGGAGGGGATGGAAGGGGAGTTACCGGCTATAATGGAGGGGATGGAAGGCGAGTTACCGGTTATATTGGAGGGGATGGAAGGCGAGTTACCGGTTATAATGGAGGGGATGGAAGGCGAGTTACCGGTTATAATGGAGGGGATGGAAGGCGAGTTACCGGTTATAATGGAGGGGATGGAAGGGGAGTTACCGGTTATAATGGAGGGGATGGAAGGTGAGTTACCGGTTATAATGGAGGGGATGGAAGGGGAGTTACCGGTTATATTGGAGGGGATGGAAGGCGAGTTACCGGTTATAATGGAGGGGATGGAAGGCGAGTTACCGGTTATAATGGAGGGGATGGAAGGCGAGTTACCGGTTATAATGGAGGGGATGGAAGGCGAGTTACCGGTTATAATGGAGGGGATGGAAGGCGAGTTACCGGTTATAATGGAGGGGATGGAAGGGGAGTTACCGGTTATAATGGAGGGGATGGAAGGTGAGTTACTGTTTCTTTAAGGCAGACCGGAAGTCGGACTACATTTCCCGGCATGCCGTGTGAGCGGCGGCGGAAGTTTTCTGTTTTGGCAGCTGCTGAATGAGAGGTGAGTCACTAACCCTCACTGAGTGCGCACTCGCCGCCCGTCACCCCCTCAGTGAGTGCGCACTCACCGCCCGTCACCCCCTCAGTGAGTGCCCGCTCACCGCCCGTCACCCCCTCAGTGAGTGCGCACTCGCCGCCCGTCACCCCCTCAGTGAGTGCCCGCTCACCCCCTCAGTGAGTGCCCGCTCACCGCCCGTCACCCCCTCAGTGAGTGCGCACTCGCCGCCCGTCACCCCCTCAGTGAGTGCGCACTCACCGCCCGTCACCCCCTCAGTGAGTGCGCGCTCACCGCCCGTCACCCCCTCAGTGAGTGCGCGCTCACCGCCCGTCACCCCC